AACAACTGAGAGCAAGGCAGTCTCGGTCGAATGTCCACTTCTGAAACCAGATCGGTTGCTGTTCAGGAGGTTGTTCTGTGTGATAAATGCTGAGACTTGGTTGAACACAACTCGTTCAAGTGTTTTTGCAATGAAAGGTAGAAGGGAAACCGGTCTGTAGTTCTCTAAAAGAGATGGGTTAAGGGTGGGTTTCTTAAGTAGTGGGGTTATACGAGCCTGTTTAAATGTTGAGGGAAAAACACCAGTGTGAAGGGATGTGTTAATGTATGAGTGAGTGCAGGTACAACTGCAGGAGAAATGGCTTGAAGGAGATGAGATGGAATAGGATCAAGCGGACAAGTAGTAGGAGGATTAGAAAGGTTGGGTTTGGAGACTTCTGCCTCAGAGAGTGAAGAGAAGGATGAAAACGAGTGTATGTTTGCTGGTAAGATGTGTTTGACAGTTTGTGGTGTGGCAAATTGTGCACTGAGGTTTGTAATTTTATTATTGAAGAATGTGGCAAAGTCGTCAGAAAAATTAAAAATGACCTTTTCAATAATCTTGCCTATAAAAGGAAGATTTGATATTGGTCTATAATTGCTCAAAATGTTGTTATTAAGATTGCTCTTTTTGAGAAGGGGCTTAACAACTGCAGTTTTCAGGGAGTCTGGAAACATCCCAGAAAGAAGTGAGGCGTTCGCCACTTCTAAGAGATCTGCTTCTAAACAGTTAAGCACCCTTTTGAAACAAGATGTGGGAAGTTTGTCAAGATAGCAGGATGACGATTTTAGGTGCTGCACTATTTCTTCCAAAAGTTTGCTATCAATTGCTTCAAAAATAGACATAGTATCTTCTTTTTGATATTGCAGTCGAATCTGTCTAACCTCTGCATAACTTGGGGATGTGCTAATCGCCTTCCTGATATTATTGATCTTCTCAGAAAAGAAGGAAGCAAACTCATTACATTTGCTGTCAGGGAGCATTTCACTGGCAATCTGACTTGGGGGGTTTGTTAGTCTCTCAACAGTAGCAAAAAGAGTGCGAGTGTTGTTTCAGTTACTGTTTATGAGGTTTGAGAAGAAACTCTGTCTACAGGTGCATCTCAATAAATTAGAATGTCGTGGAAAAGTTAATTTATTTCAGTAATTCAACTCAAATTGTGAAACTCGTGTATTAAATAAATTCAATGCATACAGACTGAAGTAGTTTAAGTCTTTGGTTCTTTTAATTGTGATGATTTTGGCTCACATTTAACAAAAACCCACCAATTCACTATCTCAACAAATTACGCCGAATTGAGGCAGTAATTAAAGCAAAAGGAGCCCCTACCAAGTATTGAGTACACATACAGTAAATGAACATACACAAGTTAATACACGAGTTTCACAATTTGAGTTGAATTACTGAAATAAATGAACTTTTCCACGACATTCTAATTTATTGAGATGCACCTGTAGTTGTGGCTAATTCCACATTGAAAGCACGAAGGCTGTCTTTATATATGCTATAGTGTATTTCAAGTTTCGTCTTCCGCCACATCCGCTCAGCTTTTCTGCATTGTCTTTTCATACTCTGAACTGCTGTTGATTTTCTCCAAGCTGATTTCTGTCCGCCAGCCCTCTCGCTGACTTTTACAGGAGCAATGTCATCAATAACATTCTTAACTTTTGAGTTAAAGGAATCAAGGAGAAGATCAACAGAGTCTGCAGAAATGCTTGGTGTTAAAGACATAGCCTCCATAAATAGCACACTAGTGTTCTCGTTAATGCATCTCTTTCTGACTGAGACAGATCTAGATTCAGTGGTATACAGAAGTATACAAAATACAGAAGTATTTTACCTCAGAATTGCGAGTTTATATATCTGATAAAAATAAAAAGGGTGATTTTGACTTTTTTTTCCTCATAATTCTAGGAAAAATAAAAAGTCACAAACACCTTTTTCATTCCGTGATGGAAATAGGTTTACATTTAATTGTGATTTCAGAAGTGAAATGAACAGAACGCTTCACATGCTTCACACACGTCTGTCTGGACTGCTTTACGATCAGCAGGACGATTATATACAGTATATATATATATATGTATATTAATGTTCTTATATTAGTTTGACTGTTTCTCAAAGCGTTTTTACACTGATTCATTCATTTGATATCAATCATCTGATCTGTGTGCAGTCAAGTTACAAATAAACAGAGAAAATAATCATTGGAAATGAAGCATCATTCATTTTAAAAGTATTCATTACAACATGCTTACTAAAGTATAAACCATACGTTATGTTACCATATGTTTAGAAGGACAGACTGAGAGACTGACTTACCCATCACACACTTCTCTAACGACGGACGCCAGCGGCTTCTTCTGCAACACACACACACACACACACACTCGCTCCTGTGGCTCTCAAACAGCACATACAGTTTCTCCTCAAATACTACAGTAATCAGTTATTGTTTTTACCAATACACTTCCACAAATAATGTCCTTCGAACAGGTTTCACTATCCCTCCGTCATTTCTTCAGTATCAATAACTATATGTTCAACAGTATATTGATGTCAAATATCACCATGACACATTTTTGTAAGAACAAATATCAGCAGGTCAAACAAAAGCACTACTTAATAGCATTTGTGTGTAAGAGTAATAAGCAGTACCTGGTCGATTTCGATGAGTTGAGCGTTTGCACCAGGCCACTCGATGGCCACCTTCACGATGTCTGACGGAGACGGCATGACAAGCATCGGCCCTGACGGCCAAAACACACGCCATCAGCTCACATACGTCTCATAACAGCCGGCTTCTCGGATCACATATGTGACCCTGGAGCACAAAACCAGTCTTAAGCAGCACAGGTATATTTGTAGCAATAGCCAACAATACATTGTATGGGTCAAAATTATACATTTTTCTTTTATGCCAAAAATCATTAGGATATTAAGTAAAGATCATGTTCCATGAAGATATTTAGTAAATGTCCTACCGTAAATATATAAAAAATGTATTATCATTAGTAATATGCATTGCTAAGAACTTCATTTGAACAACTTTAAAGATGATTTTCTCAATATTTAGATTTTTTTGCTCCCTCAGATTCCAGATTTTCAAATATTGTCCGATCCTAACAAACCTTACATCAATGGAAAGATCATTTATTCATCGCTCAGATGATGTACAAATCTCAATTTCGAAAAATGTACCCTTATGACTGTTTTTTTGTGGTCCAGGCTCACATATTTCATCAGAAACAACCTAATTATTACACATCACAAGAGTCTCTGCGCCGCTGGTTTCTCGTGCTCTGCTCTCATTGGTAGTCAGTGCATCACTTCCGTCCGGTGGCTTTGTATCGCTGTCAGTGTGAACGGCGCTCAGCACATCCAGACGGCCATGACTTTGACATGTTTTCTTATAGAGACGCAAACACTTCCAGTGACGCTCACATTATAACAAAGATGAATCTCTAACTTTGAATCTTTAAATGCTTTTTGTCACGAGCTGACCAAATTTAATTTAATTTAAGTTGTGACTGCAAGTGTGAAAAGTCTGGTGTGACAAAAAAGGGATTAAAATTACAGAAAGAACATTAAATCTTATTTCAGCTCAAGACGATTCTTATATGTTGATTTAATGTGTTAATCAACGGAATAATATATTGCTTTAAATTGCCAAGAAAAGTAAGCGTATCTGGTTGCATATGGTTTCTGAATCTCTTAAGCCAGTTTAATGATCAGACTCTGCTAGTCTCTGTAGGGTTTCTCAGACAGCAGCAGCAAACCATCCCAAATTACTCGACTAAAATTATAATAAAATCTAGCATGACCCCAACAAACAAATGCATTGCTGTGATCGGCTTTCAACTATTCACTCATGTCCCTGTTGAAAAAACCAGCATATGCTGGTTAGGTATGTTTACAATACTTTTGTGGAAACTGTGATTTTATTTTTCAGGTTTCTCTGATGAATAGAAAGTTCAAAAGAAGGTGGCATTTGCAAAGATTTGATTTTTTTCTTCACTAAAACTGTCTGGGCGACCTAGAGATACTAGAGTTGCAGGGATGAGCAGAAATCCCAGCCGCTACTCAGCTGCCCAGACACACAACCATCAGACACCAGGTGGCACTATAATAAGGACTTTTGCATTTTGGTTCACAACTCTGTAATCGCAAGGGCTAGAATCTAAATTATTTGTTTCCTCTGAATCCTTAACTCATAAGCTACAGAATGTAGATCTCAAATTTCCACTTGCATTATAAAAATATTGCGCGTTAAAAAAAAACTTTTTCCAACTCCTCCTGAATTTGTTGTTGGCCATTTGTCTGATTTGCACAAAATTGGGTACCTGACAAAAACTGTCAAAAGAGTTGCAGAGACACAGGCTGATGTGTTTGTGTGTGTGTGTATGTGGCGCATAATGACTAATTGGCATATATCCTGTGAACACAACATCCAAACTTCACAAAACCTCACACATATGGACAACACGACAATCTGAGTAAACATGCTAAGTTTCACGAACTCCTGATGCTCGGGGTGCTAACAGCAATTTTTAAAATCAGCCATATACTGTATATCAACAGGATTCAGAGATTCAGCTGTAATACCAATGCTGTCCACAGGATGACGAATCCTCATAGATCTCATAGTTTAAATGCTTCCATAGATTGACTTTATCGACTTAACGGAGAAATATCATTGTAGTTGCACAAAGTTGAATAAAGTCAAAATTATGTCTATTTAATCTGCAAAGAAATCTGTAATATCCAAAAATACCTTTATTTTTATATATCCTAATAATGCTGACATGACTGAATGTACTGCTGTCTCTCTTAAAATGGAGATACAATATTATTTGTCTGTTGTAATATAGAACATAGAATAATGCTTCCATACCAAGATCTACTTCGTATGAATCGTATTATATTAGAAAAGCAGCGTGGCCGTCGTATTGTCTGCATAAGCCATTTGTGCTTGTACCCCGATAATCGCTGCTTGCGGCTAGATTTAAAAAATGACAATATAACATTAAAAATGTTCTTACAGTCAGTTTTGTTTAGTTTGCTTGCTGAATAAAAGTGTTATTTTTTAGATGCTGTATTGTACTTTCCCCATAAATGTATGTTTGTGAATCCACTTAATATAACGAAGAAATGTATTCCCTCCCAAACTCATAAGAGCTCAGAGAAATCTCTTCATATAATTAGTGTTACTGAATAAATCTGTTATTACCCATCATCAGCGGCCTCTTGTTTCCCACCGAAGAATGGTGTCATGTCCTTCCAGCCTTTAGCGCCTGCACAAACACAGAGCAACTCGACTCCACTGACCAAACAATTCAACCACAATCACATCTGAACATGACTTAAAGGGGTCATTGGATGCAAAATTCACTTTTGTTGTTGTTTGAACATTAATGTGTGTTGGAAGTGTGTACACACATCCATCCTATAATGATAAATAAATAAATCCCTATTTTAAAATCCCCTTTCTCAAATCAGGCTGTTCTGAGATTCCTGTCAGAATGACATAGTTCTGCACAGGCCCCTCCCACAATAGTTGATTGACAGTAGCGTCTTACCTTAAGCCCCGCCCTGAGTGAGCTGAGAGCTGTCCGCCATTGTGTCGACTCCGGTGCAGGGGAAGACAAGAGCGTCTCCGATTAAGCGATCGAGGTGTTCTGTTGCTGGATGTAAGAATGAACATAGCAGTCGTCATTTACTCCCGACATCTGAGCCGCTGAAGACACAGAGGATTAACGTCACTTTAGTTTTTGAAGTGAATGCGCCGAGCCCCGATCTGCCTAAATACGTTTAAGTTTGCACGAATCATTCATGATCGAGCTTCATCTACAGAAGAAGTGAGTATAAGGTTTTTTTTTAATGAATCTTTGCAAATCGCCTTTCCTAATATGTGCTAGTTAGCCAGTTTCGCAGCTGAAGTTTACAGTGTGCTCGTCACCCCACGGAAGAGAGGGGCGGGGCCAGCGGAGCTCATTAGCATTTAAAGCAACATGGACTAGAACGGCGTGCTGAAAACAGAGCTGATTTTGACAGGGGTCTTTTTTACACTACCATTGAGAAATTTTAACCAAAGTATGTTATAGACTTTTCATTAAGACCCTAAAGAATCTGATCAACTTGTGGAAAATGGGCATCCTATGACCCCTTTAATATATTTGCTTTCTTAACTTCTCAATTTTCCTATTAAACAGTAAGTTTGGGCAGAGCATATCGGGCCGCCTCATTCTTCAGCGCATGAGTAAATAAAACTAATCAGAGTCAGCAATATTTCAGTCTGTTATTTCACAAGAGAGAGACACTGTGCATGGGAAGAGCTGTAATCTGGATCTTCATGGAGCCTTTAATACACGCTTCCATGATTACTGATTGATTTCCACAGAGAGCTCTGTAATGTCTAAATCATCGTACTCACCACCATAATCACAATGTCAGCAGAAAAAGAGAAAGACATTAGCACTGACCAGCAAAAGAAGAACTAGCTTCATGATGACAACTGTAGAGAATTCATTCAGTGAGATCCTCACAGAGAAACATTGCACCACGAAATCAAGAGAAAATAATACAAGGCGTAAAGCTACCATTTTTGAGTTTATGACAAATAAGAGCAAAATCTCACTCTCATGATTGTAAAGCAGTAATAGAATGAGATGGAGGTCAAACTAACACGGCTGATGATAATATTTGTTACAGTGAGCAGTCACTGGCACATCTTACCCTGACGCTTCTGGTGCACTTCACCTCGCACTAGGGGTGGGCGACATAGCAAAAATATCATATCACGATGATTTGATCACGATTCTGTCACGTTGGTTTTACTATTTTGCAAGTTTTCTGAGCAGCACAACCAAACTAATTTCCCTACTTTAAAAACAAAGCGTTACAAGGTGACAAAATATAAAATAAAAAAGAATGGCAGATGTTTTGGCCAAAGTGGGCGAAGATAAAAATCTTGGTCTTTATTTTATATTTGTTATTAAAAAATAAGAACAAAGGTGACAAATACGCATAATATACAAATAGAACAGCGCTTTATTTTTCAGGTACAGTCGGTGTTTTTAGCAGCAGCATTCAAGAAACTGAACGAACAAATCTAAAAATAAAACACTATATACACTTCACTGTATAAATTATACACT